GTCAATGACAAATTACCTTTACAGTTATATGATTTATGAGTAGAAATTGTAGCTGATCTAAAATAGATCGGCATTTAACCAGCATTCTTCAGCGGTTAAACAGGGGCCATTGAAGGGAACTGAAATCCCGAGCGCGCGCCCGACGACTATTCCAGCCGCCTGACATAATCAGCCTGACGACTGTTCCAGCCGCCTGATATAATCAACTACCATCCACACTTTACTCCTATGGCATGTTTAGAGGACATAAGAGCTTATGGATGCTGTTTTTGACAACAAACTACACTGCAGCATATGGTGAGATCCAACCATACTTACGTTGTGTATATATATATACAGTGATTTCGGCAAGGACTTATTTTTCAAAGTTTTTTTCGTTTTGTGCAACTTTTTTACTGCATCACATATATATATATTTTTTGGACACTCTTTTTTTGAATATACATTATTTTTCTGGCTTTGGATCCATTAGGACATTATATAATTAGAGTGCTATGCATAGCCTGGGAGGTGTGGATTGATTTAAGATATCGATGAATTGGTTATCTATTTCAATGCTGTATCTTTATGATAAGGGATTTACTAAATATTTCTTTGATGAATTTTTCATATCTGGAATGAGATCATCAGATAGTTATGTGTAGATATATTAATACAAAACAATAATATACACGCTGTGAAAGACAAATACGTAGCTCTAAAACACCTAAAAAAGTGGTATCCCTTACACCACTAAAAACATAATACAATACATACAGAGTTATAGGTGGAGCTGTGGAGTGTCTTGAACAATCTGGAAAATAGAATATATGCAAATAGCGTAGTATATCTATACAATATATAGCATATAAAAAATGAGAATAAAAGCACTCACAAGGATAGAGTCATACCGTCATATGACTCTAAAAGTATGTTCTCTTGGACCATTAGGGGGTTGTCCAAACCCTTCTTTTGTTGATTGCTTGTTATCTCTCCTGATGTCTGGAGTACTAGCTAGCATCTAAGTTCCAGTTCCCCTAGTGTCCGACTTATTAAACCAAGAGGGGCTTTTCTTCTTTGCAAGGGACAATGTTGTACCAAAACCAGCAAGCATTCCTGCTGTTGCAACTGTGCCAAGGAAAATCCCTCCGTATACAAAGCAGCCAGATGCAGTGGTTGTGGTGATACAAAGAGAATCCTTTAATCAGCAGTAGCTTGTTCTCCGTAGCCTCTCGATTCCGTTCAGCGGGGTTTAATAAGTCGGACACTAGGGGAACTGGAACTTAGATGCTAGCTAGTACTCCAGACATCAGGAGAGATAACAAGCAATCAACAAAAGAAGGGTTTGGACAACCCCCTAATGGTCCAAGAGAACATACTTTTAGAGTCATATGACGGTATGACTCTATCCTTGTGAGTGCTTTTATTCTCATTTTTTATATGCTATATATTGTATAGATATACTACGCTATTTGCATATATTCTATTTTCCAGATTGTTCAAGACACTCCACAGCTCCACCTATAACTCTGTATGTAATGTGTAGATATATGAATTGCTTGGTTTCTATATCACATTAAATTGTATATATATTTTTTTGCATATTGAAAAGCATTCTGCTTCTGGTATTATTATTATCAATTTTGAGTGCGGTATTTAATTTATTTTTTTGGTAAAATATATTAAAGTAGTATCCTGCTTTTCTTATTGGACTAACAGAATTTTGGAACGAAAAGCTTTCTCATGATCCTCCCAATTGGATCTCCTGAAATTCTGTTAGTCCAATAAAAAGATGTTAATTCCCGCTGTTATTTTACAATCCATGATGATATTGTTGCTAATTACGATTTGTTTTCTGTTTGACACCAGCAGGGGAAGCTTGGATCAATAAGAACGGGAAGGAAATGCAGTCTGGAAGGAATGCTGAAGACTTGGGGACATGTTCAGACTCTAAAGACATTGCTCTGGGTTCAAGACCAGTGATGAATCATGTTGCTCAGTCAGTGCAGGACTTCTCTGGCAATCCCCTCCGGGGTGAGGAGCCTCACACTTCTGCAGATGTTCTCAGAGGTTTTCGGACCAGCTTGCCCTTCCTGGACCAGCGGCGAGCACCCCGTGAAAAGCTTTTTGCCTGCACAGAATGTGAAAAGCGTTTTGCTCGTAGCTCAGATCTGCTAAAGCATCAAAGAAGCCACCAAGCAGGGGAAAAGCCAAACCTGTGCAACGAATGTGGAAAAATATTCCGAAGACGCACGGCCCTCATTATCCACAAGCGCATTCACACGGGTGAGCGGCCATACAAGTGCAAACAGTGTGGCAAGAGTTTTGTGCAGCGGCAGCATCTCACCACTCACGTCAAGACTCATACTGGTGAGAGACCCTACCCTTGCATTGAGTGTGGTAAGAGCTACCGCTGGAGGTCTGAGTTGCTAAAGCACCAGAAGGTCCATGGAGATTTGCTGGCTCCATCTGCAGAGTACACACAGGGTTGAGACTATTTTTCGACACAAGCTATATATGCTCACAATAATGCAAGATGGAGACAGTGTATATGGGAATGCAGTGGATCCAAAACTTTTCCCAGCGTTTCTAACTGGCACTTGCTGCGTTATATTAGGGGGGGGGCAGGCCAAGGACTGAGTGCAAGTTACCTCTCAGACCAAGTCAGTATCAGAATAAGCCACAGTGATCGACACAGGGAAATTTACCTCCAAGTCAGAATCCTAGCTGCTGACTTCTTAAAGTCTGTTTTCTGTAGAAAGATTTTCCAAGGTTGTGACTTTAAATGGATCTGTCAGAAATGTTTCTCCAAGATTCTGATAATTCCATCTGGCATTTGAAATCCATGAGTTGACAGCCGATTACATGCCGTAATCTAAGTGTATTCTGCAGCTGATGGAACTAGGTGTTCAACTTATATGGTGCAATACTGGGTCAAAGTACAAAGTCCCAATCCCTCTGCCAAACATCACACCAGCTATGAGTGTGTTAATCCCTGTGGATTGTTTCATTCCTTGGAACTACACTGATTTTATTTTGTGTTTGTGTTTGCATGCACACTTACACACAACAGTTTGGGTGCCACACACTCTGCTTCTCTCATCGTCTATGTCTCTCCCAACCCTTTACACTGTGTGACTCTTGGCTATGTAGGATACATTCTGCCATCTAAGATTGGCGCTGTGCGGCTTGTCCTACATTGCCACTGGGTGGTACATTCCAAACTGTCACTGGGCGCCAGGGTCTTATAAACACTGGTTTGTGCCTAGCGTACGGTCACTTGGTTTTATCTTGCAGCTTAAGTTACGGAAGAGTTTGTGCCACGTCACAAGCAGTGGATAGTTTGTGTAAACAATGATTTTATCACAAATCTCACCAAATCCTATCAGATTTCAGCAAGGAGTGCCTGAGTGCAAATTCAGTTTTTAACAGTGTTAGCGCAGAGTGCCGGATCAGCACTTGCAAACATACCTTTTAAATTCTGTTGCTGTAAAACATCTGTCAAATGTATCTGTCTCAGAAACCAGTTCGGCAGCAGTTAGTGATGCTTCTGGATGTTGGCTAAATGTCACGGTGGTGTAACTCTTCCAATTCAGTGTCTCACGTTGGAGGTTCTTATTCAGTCTCCATGGAGTTATCCCACATTGAATGACATCACAGACCCCAATTCTTTTAATTTCTATTGCACATTTTACCTTTCCCCAAGGTCTGAATGACTAAACTGATGAGATTTACTAACTCCAAATAAAGTTCCAACTAATGAACCACAGATTTATATGGAAATTCCTGTTACACCTCATGCTCTGCAAATGCTGGGCGATGTGGCAGCCATTTTAAAGTAACTCCATTTTAAAGAGAAGTAATGCTAATGTGTTTGTTTGTGTGACTGTGTTTGCTCTGTAATATTATTGAACTTGTGTTGAGCTGCGTTTCATTTCTGCACATTCAGTTTGTTTTTTAAAACATTTTATTGGTTGTCATGTTGTCCCTTTCAGAACTTAAAAAAACAATTGCCGTTGGTTGTCTCTTTCCTGTCAGTTTTTAAGGGAGACAAAACAATGGCAGCCTCTAAATCAGCCCAGCTACCTAAAAATAAATATACTGTATCAACATAGAGTACAAAGTGTGTCTGTGTTTTGGGATTAGTATTATTAAAATGATTTATATACCAACCCATCCACATAAGTTATGAGTCTTGTCTGCCCTGCATATTAATGCTGGATATGGGAGAAGGTGTATTATAATAAAAGCAGGCGGAGACTGGAGAGTATACATCGACCTGGAGAAGTCTGCCCTCCGTATTAATGCTGGATATGGGAGAAGGTGTATTATAATAAAAGCAGGCGGAGACTGGAGAGTATACATCGACCTGGAGAAGTCTGCCCTCTGTATTAATGCTGGATATGGGAGAAGGTGTATTATAATAATAGCTGGAGAGTATACATCGACCTGGAGAAGTCTGCCCTCCGTATTAATGCTGGATATGGGAGAAGGTGTATTATAATAATAGCTGGAGAGTATACATCGACCTGGAGAAGTCTGCCCTGCGAATTAATGCTGGATATGGGAGAAGGTGTATTATAATAAAAGCAGGCGGAGACTGGAGAGTATACATCGACCTGGAGAAGTCTGCCCTCCGTATTAATGCTGGATATGGGAGAAGGTGTATTATAATAAAAGCAGGCGGAGACTGGAGAGTATACATCGACCTGGAGAAGTCTGCCCTGCGTATTAATGCTGGATATGGGAGAAGGTGTATTATAATAAAAGCAGGTGGAGACTGGAGAGTATACATCGACCTGGAGAAGTCTGCTCTGCGTATTAATGCTGGATATGGGAGAAGGCGTATTATAATAATAGCAGGCGGAGACTGGAGAGTATACACCGACCTGGAGAAGTCTGCCCTGCGAATTAATGCTGGATATGGGAGAAGGTGCATTATAATAATAATAGGCGGAGAGTAAACACTGACCTGGAGAAGTCTGCCCTCCGTATTGATGATGGATATGGGAGAAGGCGTATTATAATAATAGCAGGCGGAGACTGGAGCGTAAACACTGACGTGGAGAAGTCTGCCCTACATTTTCATTGTTTTCAACCCATTAGAATCCAGCTCGAATTCAGGCCATACCAGGGCACTGAAATTGTGAAGGATGTATAAGAGATTTGCCAGCTACCTGAATAGTTGGAGTTTATCAGCTATTTTGGTCTGCAATGTGCTTTCCTTTGTCAATCTTTGACATTTTTCTCCCCTTCCGGTGCTAGGAAAATAAATAATTCATAATGTTTGACTTGCTCCCAATTGCAATAAAACAATTATTATTGTATAAGTAAGAAGTAAGGCACACACAGGTCACAGGACATGTCAGAGATGCTGATTGCATCAAAGTCACTGTAACGGAGCTCCCTGAACCGCCAAGGACCGCTTCCTAGGTGGAACAAGGTCGTGGCTTGACTGGGGTCCTGGAACCGCTCCTTCCTTACAAGGACTTTCCCCTTAGAATCCCCTGCAAGCTGGAACAGCAGACACAGGGGTAAATCTTCTTTCCCTCCAATAACAGGACGACACACAGTTTTGGAGTGTAAGCAGGAATAGAAGTTTAATGGAGGCACACTGGCCTTTTATGCAAGTTTCCTAACAAGGGTGACACCCAGGTGGACCTTGTTGGGCACAGGGACATAAAGTGAACAAACCAATAAAAACAGAGTCACACAGTGAGACACTCCCATACACAAACAATAGAATCCATCCTCTGTGCTTGGGAGATAATTGAATCAGGAACTTTACTAATCTAACCCAATTATCTCCAAGCACAGAAAAAAACTAAATTTTATGAAACCCCAAAAAGTACCTTAAAAACACATAAAACCACATGATAGCCCCGATCTGGGTGAACAACATATCCAAAAATCACCTAGATCGGTTCAGGGGTTCAGGAATTTCCTGGAAATCATAGTTTTGACCGACCGTGCACATGGTCCTATGCCCAAAACAGTTCCAGGGAAATCAGTACTAACAGTTGGTTAAGTTTGGTAGTCTTTTACAGGTTTCCCTGCAGGGCCCATAGTCTGTGGCAGGAGGCTGGCAAGCAGGCTCTTCCAGGAGCTTGTGACAAACTCACTTGGAGAGGGGAGTTTGTCACATATCTTCCCCCTTCCGAAGAGACTATCCAGACCTCCAATCGGTCTAGGTCTGTGATAGTCTGGTGGCCTTTCCCAAAAGGCGTAGTTGTCCAGTGTAGCGGAGAGCTGGTCTTTCACAGGTTAACTCCACTAAAGATCCCAGTGACGCTCAGGAACAAGTGATAAAATCCCATAGAACAATAGTCACAGCAAGCAAGGTAATCCGTGAATATCCCCATACAGATCCCAATGACTGGACGACACACAGCATCAGGAGCAGAACTGAACTTTTAATCCACACAACCTTCTTTTAAAGCTTTCTCCCATGCAAGTGAGGGATTCACATTAATCAGTACAGTATCCAATAGTATGCCTGTTACCTCCCACACATCTCCTCCCCTCATTGTGACACCCGATTTCTGGATGTACCCCAAAACAGTCAGCTAGAATTATATACTGGGTACCCCCTGGTAGCCCTGATCTGGGTGACTAACATATTCAAAATTCACCCAGATCGGACCAGGGGTTCGGGAGTTAGATGGAAGGTGAAATTTGACCGACCGCACACGAGGTAGTATCCGAAAAGGGCTCCATGTGTTTTGACCTTGGGGCCGGTCTCCGTTCGGGAGTTAAAATACCTAGAAATGCTTGCCATCCACAGCTAATCTTACATTCATATTAATTCCCTTGTTCGGGACATTGATTTCACCGAACAAGGGGCTGGTTGGCCCCTCCGTTCGTGAGTTACGGAGCTCTAGAGGTCTCACCGGTGTTCGGTTGTTTGAGTGTCTGATTTTAGTTCCAGACACACTATAGCGGAGAGCTGATATTCCACAGGTTATCTCCACTTAAGATCCCAGTGAGGCTTAGGAACAAGTATTCTAAATCCATAAGGCAATACTTTCAGCAGGCAAAACAATCCAACAATATCCCAACATCAATCCCAATGACTGGACGACACACGGCATCAGGAGCAGAACTGAACTTTTAATCACTCACCCTTCTTTTAAAGCACCCTCCCATGCAAGGGAGGGATTTACAATCAATCATACATGAGTAGCCACCCACACATCTCCTCCCCTTAGCCTGACTCATAATCCTATTATGCAGGACACAAATTCCCTGGGTTTCTGGATGTACCCCTAAACATAGGGGTACCCCTTTAAATATTACATCCCCTGGTAGCCCTGATCTGGGTGAGTGACATATCCAAATATCACCCAGATTGGTCCAGGGGTTTGGGAGATTTGTGGAAGTAGTAAAACGACCGACTGCGCTGGAGGGAACAGCCAAAATTGGTTTCATGCGTCAGTCACAGAAAAAGGGAATAAACTGCACGAAAGACTTGGGCTATGGAGACTAGGGAGGGTTCGCATAAATCCCCTTGTTCGGTGTTTCTTTCTACCGAATGGGTGGCCGTTCGGTAGTGTCTATACGAATTTAAGGGCAGTGTGGAGGTCTCAGCGGTGTTTGTCTAGCCGAGTGTCCAATTTGGGTTCCAGACACTCGATGGCAAAACACCGCTGTTTGGGAGTTTAAAATGGCCGCCGCCACGTGTTCGTCTCCCGAATGGCGGCCACCCAGAGAACAAAGAACCCACTACATGAATTGCCAAACCCGTCAGCGTTTCCATTTTGTTTGCCCGGGCGGTACTGAATGTTAAAGTCAAAGGGCTGCAGCGCCAAAACTCCAGCGCAGCAGCCTGGCATTGTCCCAGCCACCCGGTTCAGCTATACTAACGGGTTGTGATCCGTGAGCAAAGAAAAGGGCTGTCCATACAAATACGGCTGCAACTTCTTTAGGGCCTACACTACAACCAGGCATTCCTTCTCGATAGTGGCATAGCTTACTTCTCTGGGTAACAACTTGCGACAGATGTAAGCCACGGGATGTTCTCCGCCATCGGCCCCGACTTGGCTCAGCACTGCCCCAAATCCAAACATAGAAGCGTCTGTGTGAACAAGAAAACGTTTAGTTGGATTGGGAGCTGCCAAGACAGGGGCATTAACATTAACATGTTGTGGTAGTTTTTCTTCTTTTAAATATAGTCTCCTCCTTTACTGTGTTGATTCCCTTTATATATTTAAATGTTTCTATCATATCCCCCCTGTCTCGTCTTTCCTCCAAGCTATACATGTTAAGATCCTTTAACCTTTCCTGGTAAGTTTTATCCCGCAATCCATGAACCAGTTTAGTAGCCCTTCTCTGAACCCTCTCTAAGGTATCAATATTCTTCTGAAGATACGGTCTCCAGTACTGTGTACAATACTCCAAGTGAGGTCTCACCAGTGTTCTGTACAATGGCATGAGCACTTCCCTCTTTCTACTGCAAATACCTCTCCCTATACAGCCAAGCATTCTGCTAGCATTTCCTGCTGCTCTATTACATTGTCTGCCTACCTTTAAGTCATCAGAAATAATCACCCCTAAATCCCTTTCCTCATATGTTAAGGTTAGGACTCTATCAAATATTCTGTACTCTGCCTTTGGGTACAGTCCTCCCCCCTGGATACAGTATAATGGTACAGTCCCTCCCCCCTGGATACAGTATAATGGTACAGTCCCTCCCCCTGCATACAGTATAATGGTTCAGTCCCTCCCCCTGGATACAGTATAATGGTACAGTCCCTCCCCCTTGGATACCGTATAATAGTTCAGTCCCTCCCCCTGGATACAGTATAATGGTACAGTCC